CAACAAAACCGCCAACACTATCGAAAAAAAGGCCGCAGCTGCGTGTTCCGCCAACGTCAGCCAAGCAACCCATTCCGACTATCGTCATCTCACTCTCTTTCTTTCCAACGGCCCGTTGGCGGAGAAGTCACTGGAAATTGCAACACCGGCGGAGATTTTTGGTTCCATGTGTCGCGCCATGGGATCGGCGGGGCAGGACGCGTACGCCTGCCAATGGCGAATACATTCACGCCCACACCTGTGTAGTGTAAGTACATGTACAGTACAAAACACACACACACACACACAAAAGCTTCTTCGAGTCAGTGCACTCGAGTGCACATGAACATCATACATGTCTGCATTGCAAGCGCCCAGTCGATTTGCTCTGGGACCGAAAACTGCCTTCGGATCGTCTTGCACGCACTAGATTGGCTGATTCACGCACTGGTGGGGGCTGGTGACGATGGCGTCTTACGCTACGGGCAGACGGGCACTCCCGTGATCGGCACTGCAGCTGGAATTTCTCCTCCTAATACCCTAAGCCTTCAAGCCTGCTCTCTCCCTCTCGTGCTTCTTTGCATCTCTGGCCCACAGTCAAAGTGGCGCTATACACTTCGCAGTCAGCTCATACTATCTGCGTCATCGTCCCATCATCCCCTTGCAACACCCCATGCACAAACCGTCAGCCATTGCGTCTCCTACACGTGCGTACCGCTTAGTGACACGCCGCTGGATCGGCTGCCAGTAGCTGGGAACCACTGAAACATGTCAGTGCGCCATCAATTGAATTCCCATGGCGCAACACGGAGCGCTGTCCGCTTGAAGACGATGCCATATATAGCCTCGTGACAAGTCTTGCGTCGAAGCACGCAATCACAAGCGGAGGCTGACTCTGCGGTTCGGCGTGGGAACACTCAAACAGCCGCTAATACAGCCTTCGAAATGCCGCAGTGCCACCATTCGCTATCGCTTTGCACTCTTGAGGACGCAACTCCAATGAGGCGTCAGAGACTGTCTCTCAAGCTAAACCGATTGACCAAACCATGAAAAGTAGTCACGACAATCATATCCTTCTTCACCTGAACCAGAAAACAGAGTACGATCCATCGGTGCTCAGTATTCGCCTTCCGATTCCTTCGTCGTTTTGCGTCCTTCCGAAAGGATCGGTAAAGAGCGTAGTTAGTTTCTCGGAAATCGGCCCCATCTCCTGCTTGGATACCGGTACCGGGGGGCTCAACAAGCTCGGATCAGGCTGCAGGATGGCGAATATGCTGCTTTTCGACCTCCCAACCATCCGGCGAACAACATCTTGCAGATTATCGTACAATGGCCACAGTGTTTTCAGGTACCGTGCTGCGACCGGCTCACACGGCTTACATGGTTCCAGCATGTCCATGCATGATTTAGCGTACGCGAGATCTGCCTCGACCCCATCGGTCTGGCCATCCATGAGTTTGGTGGTTGCATTGAAAAGCAGGCAAATAGAGGCTGAAAAGGACCAGTATATACTACACCCGTCAGCCTGCTTCACTTTCCTTCACTTTCTTCAACAACTTACATTATCCAGCAGCGCTTAGTCAACGTGCCATCAAAGGAAATGAGTCCTAACATGCGCGCAATGTTTTGAGCGGCTGTCGAACACTCTCGTCTGTACATTTTGATGTCATCCGCTGACATATTATTTAATGAAGTTGGTGCCTCGTCGCCGAGCTGAGCTCCAGCCGCAGCAACAAGCAACTGACGGTATAGCAAAACCAGGGTGCCAAGATACATAATCTACCAAAAAAGTCAGTGCTAACACACAATCCGACGAATGCGGTTTCTTACATGTACCATGAAAATGGCTCGCCTCTGGTACTTGTTCAATTCTTGAGCCTCGCTGGACAAAAGGGTAGGAATTTGCAAGTTGTAGGGTACATCCTGGCGCCACTGCTCGAGCTTACGAGTAAGTAAAGTAACGTTAGCCTCGGTGGCTAAGTTGGGTGATGCAAGCGTCTTTGCAACTTCAGCCGCAATCAAATTGATCTTGCTAGTTTGTGTGTGAATCATGTCATCTATCGAAAGGTGATCTGGCCAGTCCACAACACACGCAATCTAGTCATGTTAGCGCTATAGGGAAAAAATATCAGTCTCGCAATGCCATACCTGGACATCGTTGGCCGTCACCTCTGAAGGATAACCAAGCGTGTATGAAAGCCATGAGTCCATGAAAATGAGACTTCGGAAAATTTTCCTCCAGCCTACATCGGCTGTCTGGGGCCGGCTCAGCGGTGCTGCACATTTCCAACGGGCAATCTGCAATCCTGCGGCTGTGTCTTGTTAGCTTGTGTGTTGAATAGTTTAGTAGGGAGCTCGGTTACCAATAAGGTATTTTGCGCTCATGTGCTTCTCGAGGAGCGAGAAGAAAGACAATGAGAGCAACAAACGCATTGTTCGAAAGTGATCTTGCCGGGCTGTCCGTTCGTTGAAATGAAGAGTGCCAGAGGCGTAGAGCAGGCGCAACATGTCATCAGAGAATACATCAATGTCATAATGCGCACCCATGGCAGCCACGGTAAAACATTCAGCAAGCGTCATATCGTCGACCTTTGTCTGTGGCCGGTAGATTCGGTCGAGAATCTCATCAGCTTGTTCAAATGTCCACATGAAAAGGAGCGAGCCGGTCCCTCGAATGAAGGCATACAAGGACCGACGCACTCGGTCTTCGGGCGGGAGACGATTTTCATTGAAATGCTGAGCGCCTCCACTGATGATCTCGCTTCTGAGAGTTACCAGCTCACTAAAAGCTAGGGTCAGTGCGTTATGACAGGCTTCTGCGCCAGGCCCCATAGGCACAGTAGGCATCAGAGACACAGGACTGTCCATGGAGCTGGGGCTCGTCTGTGAATATGGACGAGTGTTGTTGGACGTATCTGTTGTCGAGCGGCTGTTTCCTGGTCGTTGTCTGCCTGAAGAAGCGGTTGACTGTTGGGCTTTGAATTCATTGAGGTACATCTGGTGCTTTTGCCAGCTGTCGGTCTTCTTGTACTCGTCCATCTGGGCCTCAAACTCTTGCATGGACCGCGCAGCATTACTTTCCCACACGCGCTTCTTCTCAGCTGGGAGCTCTTGCCATCTGCGACCCACCTCGCGTGCAATGTCGACAAAGGACAGCTGGCTGACTTCTGGGTCTGTGCGAAGCTGATCAGCAAAGTTGACATCTACGATTGTTAGCAAGAGTGCAATATCAAGTCGGCAACGCGCAAGCGTGTGCTTGTCGTACAGGCTGTCTTTGGCTTCTTGGGCGCATTTGGATCCGGCCGGGGATGGCGCCGGTACCGCCGCTTCTCGCGTGGTGGCGGGGTAGTCGTCTGCCGGGTGAAGCTCTCGAGAGCCGACGCAGAGAGAGATACTGGCTCTGGTGAATTGGACTCTGGGTCGAGTGACAAGGACTGGGGAATGCCGCGGTAGGTTGCAATCTCGCGCTGGAGCAGTCTGCGGTGGCCGAGTTTGAAGTTGAGGGCCGTCATGTCGTCCTCGGTAATGTCGAGGACGGCGCCCCAGGTATGGAAGCCATTGTCAGCGAGGACTTGAAGATATTCGGTTAACCCCAGACGGCTCAGAACATCGGGCAGGCCTGGTGAAGTGGGACTTGAAGGGGAAGGGATCGCCATGAAGGGTGACGTCTGCAGAGGGAAAGGATGGGAAATGGGACAAATGGCATATTTGAGCGTCACGCAGACGACATGGAAAGTGCCGCAGCAAAGACCATGCGGTGCAGACGGACAGAAGCTGAGAGAGACGGTATGGGATAGCGTGCAGCCGTGGCCTGTGATTCCAGACCCGGTAGATGAAAAGAAGGGTGTTCGAGGCCCTCACGGTCTCGACCCACCCTTTTGTCGGGCGCTAGTGGCTGCTGCAGCCCGGTCTGAGTGCGTGCAGCCGACGCAGCGCTGCAGTCAGATTGCTTGAATCTGTCACGGCCGCCTGCCTTTACAAAAAGAGGGGGATAAGTCATCATCATGGCGTGAAACGCTGCATACATGCGTACGTATACGACTGGCCACATGTGCAGGTAGAGTACGTACCGCCCGCTACCTGCCATGCCACTTGGGAGCAACACGGCGGCGCCCTCGAATGCCACACACTGCCGCGCCGGCGGCACTCGAGCCGGGCCCATTCCCGTCCATGGCACTGTACACGACACAGCGGACTGCCTCTGAGAAGAAGCTTTCGGCGCCAGCGGCGATGGGGCAATGGGCAATGGGCTGGGAGAGCTAGACGCCGAGTAAGTAATACAATACTGACTTAGATGATGAACAGCAGCGGGGACCATTCCAACAGGCACGGAACGTGTTCCCTCCTCCCTGTTGCAGCCAAGGACCATTCACAGGCAGGGCACTACTGGCTGTCATCTGCAGCACAGTGCCCGCGTGGTATTGCAGGTAGCCGGGGAATGCTGATCGAAAAGTCCTCTCAGATCGCGGTGGTGCAACAGAGGTCTAGACTACTCGTCCATCTTCATGTCAGCGCCCCCAAGCAGCACCGCCCTCGCCCGCCTCCTGTCTGCTGGCTTCCACGCCCTCCCTGCACTGGCATAACGCTATCGTAGATCTGCCCAAGCTCCATTTGCTCAGCCTCACCATCTGTTTAGATCATTCGATTTCGGTGCACTGCTCCCGCTAACGCCCCGTGCCAGCCACGCAGTCTCGACCGCTCCTGCTCCTGCTCCTGCTGCTGCTGATGCCGATGCCGATGCTGTGCCCGCTGTTCTCGTCCCTGTCCCCGACACATGGCGAACAAAACAACTGTACTTATGGTCATGTGGAGGAAAAACCATGTTTCACGGTGTTATTCCTGGCCTCGGGCACTAGCCCTTCTCTCCCTCCACCAAGCATTAGTACGAGCCGCTAAACCCCTTCGGGACTACGCCCTCTGCTCCAACTGCTTGACGATTGCGCAACGCTGCACGCCACAACCACCTCTACTACTCTAGATCCAGACAATGCCATTCTTATCTACATACCACAATGCCGATCTCACAAGTACTTTTGCATCAGCTCCTTGACCCGTCCCAGATCTAGCGCCTCAATCTGGTTGCCGTTCCCGTCCATGGTCTCCGCCATGCATACCGCGTTGTAGATGGCCTCTTCAACTACATCCGCACTTGCCTCAAAGAGCGCGTTGATGGTCTGGTCATCCGTCATGGCGACCTGCACTTCCCGCGCCTTGTATGGGTCTACGCTTGCTTGGCCCGCTGTCACAGTCTGCACATTCACCTCATTCGCTGTGGAAAACGCCATGAAGATGTCGCCAGACGGATTCGTGCCGTACCCGCCTACCCGAGCCAGCCCAACCGTTGCGCGCTTGGCTAGCCGTTGAAGTTGCGTTGGGTGGAGCGGTGCATCTGTCGCAATGATAACAATAATGGACCCGTCTTTCTTATCCTTTGCCTTTTCCACCTTGAACAGCAACTTGGACTGGGCAATCAACTCTGGATCCTCGGGATTTTCCTCCATCTTCCTCTTCTGCTCTTCGTAGATGAGTCTCCCAATCGGCGCCCCGCCGATTTTAAAGTCCCACATCTTACCGTAGTTAGCTTGGACGAGTGCGGCCACGGTATAACTACGTTCTCCTTCGGCAGGAACAACACGAGAGCTCGATCCAGTACCGCCTTTGAAGTAGTGACATATCATACCCGTTCCGCCACCCGTATTTCCTTCTGGTACCGGCTCACTGCTCGCCTTGTCCATGCCATCCACGATATGCTTTGGTGTCACAGCAAACTTGGCAACATCATGCAAAAAGCCATCAAACGTTTCCGCCACAACTGGTAACAGGAACCAGTCCACCTTGCCTTCGGCATCACAATGTTCCCGGATAGCATACTCGTAGATTCCATTGTATGCTGAACCAACGCCAAAGCTGCCCGTAATAATGATTGGTGAAAACAACAGTCCCATCTCCTCGATCAGGTGCGACCCAGTCATCTCCCCAGACCCATTAAAGCGGAAAATGCCTGCAAAGCAAGCTTTGTGAAACCAGTCTTTGCGTGGCAGGATAGTTGTTATGCCTGTATTTATCGAATTTGGCGTTGCGTTGGGGTATGTGGGTGAGGAGTGGATGGACTCAGTGTGTACAAGAACACCAGGAATGTCTGTGAGACTGTTCTTTGGACCGGGCTCGTAACGGCCCAGGTGTAGAGTTGGAAGCAGCTCGCGAATACGCTGGCGTGGATGTGAGGAAGTAGATAGCGAAGTCATGATGGTTTGTTGTGTGGATTTGAGAGATGAGTTTACGAGCAGTATAGGATATGTGGTGTAGCACTCAAAGCTGGGGCTGTGTGCTTTGAGTCTACCTTGGGATCTTATGATCTTTATGCCATAAACTTCGGTTCGAATTTACTCAAGAGCACATTGATGACAGATTTCTGCTTCTGTCTTCTTCAGGCACCAGTCTCATGTCCCACATTGCTATAGTATGGACGGCTCGCCTTTGTGACACCGTAAGCCCTTGGAGACGTATTAGGCAGGTGCACAGTATTCTGATCCGCCATAATATTGGAACTGCCGCTACTTATGCCAATGATGGCCACGAAGCAGCGCAACAGCAATATGAACTCCATCCTACAGGCGCGTTCTGGCAACGCTCATAGTGAGTCACCTTGGCGAGACCCCGCCCTCGTACATGACTAGCGTACATCCTCATTCCCCTGCGCGTAATCGCCGCTTCTTCACTTCTCTCGCCTATCACACCATATCGACTGATGAATAGAACCATACCATAAAATTGATAGCCAGGGTTCTATCGTTTTTTCAATCACCCACTGAGTCGGCCGGACCTGAAATGTGCTATTTTATCAATGCCGCGAAATTCCCGATGTGTTCACGACTCAGTTGATAGATCTGTTATCGGAATACCGGTTCCTGCATAGCGCACTTGCAACACCGCAAGCTTGATCCTCTCAAGTTCAGATCCCCATGCTGTGCCGTGTCGGGCTTATCTGACGTAGTCGGCCCGCTGTTCAAGTACATGGTCTCTCCCCACTCTTGCTGGAAGATAAAGAAAAGTTTGTAGCCGGACTGTCGGCGATACCACCTTCCTCGCCATCGCCATTTGCACCAGGATGTTGTCGCATCTTCTCGTGGTTGGGCTTTTGAGTCTCGTAAAGACATCTTCAGCGAGTTATGGATTCTACGTCGGCAAGGCACTCACACAGGATGGCAGCGTTATGCTGGGCGGAACAGGCGAAGAAGTATCATCGCATTGGCTTCAGATCTTCCCTGCCAAGGACCACAAGCCGAACGACACCATTGTCGTCGGCGTTACGGAAGACGCGGTAATGCCAGGAAAGTTGATGAACATTTCGCAAGCACCACATACCTTTCGCTATCTTTCGATGGAATACTCGGACTTTGAAGGGTTTCCGGCGCCCCTCACAAATGGTGGTGTTAACGAAAAGGGTGTTGCTGTACGCGATATATGGGCTCAGAACCGGGATGATCTCATTGTCATGACACCAAACCCGCAGACGGGATTGCAATACTCAGACCTGGCCCGCATTGTACTGGAGAGAGCGAGTACTGCAAGAGAAGGCGTCGAACTTATTGGACAAATGATTGCCGAATATGGCTATGCCGACTATGGCGGTAACTCGCATCTCATCGCTGATGCAAACGAAGGCTGGGTGGTTTGGGAGATGTCGGGCGGCCAGAAACTCTGGGCGGCAGAGCGTCTTGGTGAAAATGATGTGCGCGTTCTTTACCCTGGTTATATTGAAGACTTTCCTGTGGACTTTGAAAATAGTCCAAACTACATGGGTAGCCCCAACATTGTGAGTTTTGCGGTTGAGCAGGGCTGGTGGAACCCAAACGGTACCAAGCCTTTTAACATATTCAACGCGTACGCACCTCAGGAAGAAGGCTACACTGCACGAGACGGCGGAGCGAAGTACATGTCGCAAGCTGCGCTTGAAGATGCGACCCGTGCAATGGCTCCTGTAACGGAGAAAGACCTTATCGAGCGCGTTCGCGACTACAGAATCTCGGACGATGAAGCCGGTTACGGCCAAGTCGTGTCTCTACGTCCAAATATGGACCCTGATCTGATTCGTGTTTGGGTTGCACCTACAGGCTCAGTAACAGCACCTTTCAACCCATGGTGGCTGGGTGTAAAGAGCATTCCACCAGAGTATGGACTACATCGCTACCTGTACAAGGATGCTGCGGCAACATTCCTGGATACCGACTACCAGTTTCAAGAAGCCACCCAATTTGCTGGACGTATATTCAAAAAAGTACTCTACTACACGTGCTCGGATCCGGAAAGTTATCTGCCCGTTGTGCAAAACATGCTGCATGGATTCGAGAATGCATCCTTTGCTGACATGGAATGGGTCGAGCGAGCTGCCCACACAATGATGGAGGCCGGGCAGCGGGAACATGCACTGGACCTTTTGACATTCTATTCGCATGCAAGGGCAGAAAAGGCACTGGCGCTTGGGAGGACCATGGCTGATGCTCTTGACGCCTACGTGAAGCTGACGGGTCAGTTCCGCATGCCGAGTGGCGATCGAATCAATGATCCTGGGCTTGGGGCTGAGACAGTCAACTGCTTAGTAGGATGGGATCCGGTGAGTTAGACATGAGCGTAGAGATGTTTGGTGCATACTAATGTTGTTGTCTTAGGATCAACCAGCTGACAAGCAGAAACCTCTGAAGAGATTTCGACGATCGAAATGACTTGGACAAATAGCTCGGAGCTACCGAGACAAGCAATACCCTCTCGATACTTGAGATACTGAAGATAATGATCTAATATAATCGTACTCGAGCAGAAGGAGCAAATATATAGAAAATATGTACCACTGATTCGAGCCTAGGGGGTGATTGCAAATGAGGAATGACTACGGTAGCCATTCAATACTGCCATTGACGGGCCGACAGGACTCTAAGCCGAACCCGTATGTATCGATTATTCACAAGTAAACCAAGTGGACACCGTATCCATGCGGCTGCCGTTGTTGGCACCTGCGTCGCATGCATAGCGATTACGCGAGCCTCGATTTACCCGGTCATCACGCCACGACTTTGGCGGTAGACATTTTCAATCGTCACCAATCTTCTAGTCCTTTATGGCAACGTGATTCGAGAAGGAGCGCTATCAAGCTTTTGTACTATTGACTTGCATGTTTTGTTTCTATCATGCAGGAGGTACTAGCAGCTAGGCGCTACGAACGAGGAATGGCTTGTACACGTCTGTCAACTAGCAACCGAGCACATGGTAAGACTATCACGATACCAGAAATCTATGGTAATAGCCCGACAGATAACAGAAGCTCCGACTCTTCAGCCAAGAAACGCTTGACAGCAGTATACTAACAATTGGTTGATGCTTACACTGGAACTAAGCTCAAGAGCTAACCTTGGTTGCTAGCAGCAAGCCACCATTTTGAACCCTTACCCATTACCCACAGGCTGCAGGAACCACTCATGTATGTGGACGCAAGGATTGCCATACTGGCTAGCTTGAACGTTTCTATTCGCTGGTTGGGCTACTTAGATCGGTTTACTACTGTCTTTCGCTTGTTGGCCGCACGGAACTACTGCAAGGCCGGGACGCGGGCTAGAAGGCTAAAAAAAATCGAACGTTGGATCCCTCCCAGAGCACAAACTATGGAACGAGCTGAGGGTTACGCAAGTATCAGGCAGAGGATTCGCTCGGTGTCCGTGACATGAGTGTTTTTCTCCTTTTCTGTTAGCTAATGGGCTTTGTGCATTTAGAGAATTTGGAAGGAAGAGACATTCGACTCCGCACAGCTCGTTGGTACACACATACTACCCGGAAGCAGGAAACTTTTCTCCACCAACATGTCAGCATAGCAAGATGCTGTTGTTATCGAGGCTCCCCTCGTACCCGGTTCCGGGAAACTCTTCACCCATCTGACGCACCGTATGGATGCCGAAGCAATCTATCAACTATATTTTCCAGCTAAAAAAAACTGATACCACAATTTTGCTCTAGGCTTATCCCAAGCAAGCGAGCCGTCCATCGTATTGACCGCAACTTCTGATAGCAAAAGACGGCAGAGAAAAAAAAGAGAGGACTTGTGATGTCAGCGCGGTGTAAAGTTATCGGCCCCATACCGTAAGAGTCTTGTTCGGTCTAGCAATCGGCTTCCTCGGAATGAAGCATGTCCGCTTCCTTCCATGGGAAACACAGGCTCCATGTTCCCGGGTGCCTTCGGTATCACGGCGAGTGTGATTATGACGACCGGTTATTGGATCGTTGATGTGGGCGGGCGAGATACCCGTCCCAAAGCTTATTTACCATTGGGTGTAAGCGGGGATGACATGGGGGGGTGTCCTAGGTTAACCAACAGCAAAACGTGAGAGTATAGTTTGATCCGGCAGATACATGAGCATATGTTCTGTTTTCATATTTAGAAACACAGTGATTGAGGAGAGAAAGCGTCCTGTACACCTTTTCTTCAGTACTTGCAACTGCAAAGGATTCTTGCGGAAGCCTTCCTTTTCCTCGGTCGTTCCCGACATACATATCTCGCTTTACCTAGTAAGTAGTCAGCCGCATCGCACTATCGAACCCTAGCGTCATCATCTCCCCATTTCTCTCTCTCCCTCTCTCTCCCTCTCTCGATAAACAAGAAAGCCGACGACATCCGACCCGGGATGTGGGCCGGTTTTGCACGCATGTACCATGCCGTTGCGATAACTATTCTTGACGCTCAGCCGAGAGCTTTTTCCCACCACTACGCCTGGAGGATTGCAAGCTGCATGGAAGGATCACTCGGATGGGGGGGGGGGGCTTGGTCAGGATCGACGGGAAGGCTAAGTGCTGATGCGTACGTGCGTGCGTGGATGCGCCGAGCGCTGAGGCAAATATCTGTATGTACTTGGATGAGAAAGGAAGGGAGGCTGGTGGGAAGGGGCAGACGGCGAAAACGTATAAGTATAGAGAGAGTATGCGTGCTCCCTTGAAGTACCAATACCTACTACCCATCTCAACCCCTCCAAGTCTAATACCATCAGGAAATCTTGGAAACGTATACTTGATATCTTAACCCTCCCATCCTTCACCAATACCTACCAATAAACTCGTCCCATACAACCTACCTACGAAAATGCACGCCCTCACTATCTTCATTGCAACCCTGGGCCTCGCCTCCGCATCCCCCATCTCGCACCTCTTCTCCCTGCGCTCCCCCCCTCCTCGCAACATCGTCGCCTCCGTAGACCGCTACGCCGGCGCCAGCTGCACGGGAAATATTTGCAACATAGCCGGGTCGGGGGATTTGGTGCCTGGATGCAACGCCATTACCGATGAGTGCGTTGCAAGTCTTAGGTTGAATTATGCTAATAAGGGGTGTTCTGGTACGTTCTATCCTTCCTTTTCTTTGTTTTATTTTTTTGGGTGGCTTGGGGGTACTCTGATTGGGGTTGAGAGAGAGATAGAGGACCAATGCTAATGTACGTGTGAATAGTCAAGGTTTTTGCAGACCACGCGTGTAAGCAGGAGACTGGCGCGGTGGGGTTGCAGACGGCGGGTGTGTGTAGTGCGCTTGCTGGCAGCACGCCGTTTAAGAGTATTTATGTTACGTGCTAGGTGTGGTCTGAGAGAGAAAGAGGCAGGGAAAGGGATGATGTGACGAAGAGATGCATGGGGATATGAAGAAAAAAGAGTGACGCAGTGATGATTATGAAGATATAGAATAATGTATAGCCACGCTCATTAATTTGCAAATGTTTGAAATTTCATCTTCTCGCTCTTTCTTTCGTTCCCATGTGTTGTGTCTGTCTTGGCAGCCCCGTGCCGAGCGAAACCTTTACGTGCTCGTATGTCTACATATTCTACGCATAGAGGCTAAACAAACAAACAAAAACATGCTTCTTTCAAAATGGGTATCATGACCAACCTATTAGTATTACAACTCAACTAGCCATCTATTTTGCCGGACTAGCAACTCTATCAACCGGACTTGCCGTCCGGGCTGTGCCTACACCCGAAGCTAACAGTTCTAATCTTGAGGCTTGGACACGATGCTTCTTCATGACATCAACCCATTCCTCATCTGCCTCGCTGTCTTCCACACTCTCATCTAGCTCTGCGCGCAAATCTTCTTCGAGCAGCGCAATCATTACGCTAAAGTCTGCACCGAGTCTGCCCAGCGAGCCAGCGCAGTAGAGGACCTGGGTAAGAAGCGAGTCTCTTGCTGAGCGATCCTGCACATTGGGCAAATAGTCGCGCAGGGTATCGAAGAGCATTTCTACAAGGTGCAGAGGAAAAGTAGCGAGAGCAGAAGGGATGGGCTGAAGAGGATCAGACGAGTCGACGGGCTTGACAGCCGGGGCTGCAGCGTCTTCGGATCCTGGTGCGGGGAGAGCAGAAGGAAATATGCTTTTGTACATGGATATTATGGCGAAGCTTTGTTCGCGGAACACCTCGAGGTACTTTTTCAAGTACTTTTCTGTTTGTTGGCCAGCGGCCCAGCCATTTTCGGTGACTTTTGTTGTCTTACTCGTGCGCTTCGAAGTTTCCTGGTCTGCGAGGTCGCGGAGAGGGGACAGGGCTTCGAGCATGGACTCGAGGCAGACTAGCCTGCACACAAGGAACAGCGCGCCTAAAGTGCCCTCGCCACTACCAATGGCGGCTTGTTTAGTGGACCAAGATTCATCTAACTCGGGGGCAACACGTCGGAGCCAGCCAATGGTTCGCATTGCACCTGCCAACTTGATTCCCTGAGCCTGGAGAGCTGTGATGAGGTTGGTGGTCATGGTCTTCATCTCCTGCTCGGCCTGGGCTGTGAGCGAGGAGATCAGAGGCGAGTTGGGGTAGAGAGTATGCAGGCGCTTGACATGGGCATGGAGATCGAGGGCCGAGGCGTAGTTTGCATTGGCGATAGCCGTGGACGAGGTCGCTTGTGCGGCGGCTGTCGACGATGTTATGGCAGACGAGAGGAGGGTGGGGAGGTCGAGGACATCGGAGACGCGGTCAATGTTGCGCGACAGCAGCATGGCTTTTCTCCGCCTGTCGAGTATGGCATTATCAGCGCCTCTACTGTATTTGTCGGAGAAGTGCTGTGCTGCTGTTTCGAGTGCGGGCAGCTCGGCGTGGACGGTTGATGCATCGTGTCCAATATGCGGGAGAGTGGTGCGCAGATGCAGCAGGTGGTCGGCCGAGGCGATAATTGGCTTGTGAGATTTTTTGGAGAGAGCCTGAATGGAGCGCAGTATTGATTGTGAGCTTTGGGCTAGTGATTGCTGCTCCGACGAGGTGAGGGCTGGTAGCGGGAGGGTGGTTAGGCGGGAGAGGTAGGCATTTGTGGCGGCGTCGTTGGGGACAGGACGGGCGTCGAGATAGGGAACGAGGAGGTCATAGAGGGCGTCAACCATGGTGTATATGGGTGGTCATGTGTGTGTATATATGTGGGAGTGAAGTGTAGTAGTATGTACGTATGTACATGTGGGGTATAGAGTAGACGTGGACCCCTGCAAGCATCGACGCTTCACATGCGAGAAAGGCCCCGCCCAAGAAAGTATCCCAGCACCTTCATCCATCTCGCCCTGTCCAGCGCCGCCAGCTTCTTCGCACCCCGGGGCAGCGCACTCCCAGCCGCACATACCGGCCCCCGCCCATCGACTCCCCAAATGCAAAGCGCCCAGCATGTCGTCTTCTGCGTCGAGGACACGGTCGGGCTCATCGACGACAGATACAGCGTCGGTATCATAGAGCGCTCCTTTGGCGACGTAGACTCGCACGAGCCCCGCCCCCAGCGCGACTATCCCGATGACATCGAGTGCCATGGCGACATTCCCCAAGACCAATTCGCAAAGTTTATCAAGGACGGCATCCCTCCGCGCGGCACCGTCCTCGTCTCGTGGCAGACGCAGTACAAGACCGAGCTCATCCCAGAGGCCAGGCTGCAGCTGCTCGACCGCGCCCTCTATGTGGGCGATGTCGTAAAGCGCAAGGCTGAGGACTACATGAGTGGTACCGTTATCGGAACCCAGGCTGTCTGCACTCTCTTCCCCGCCACTCTCTTCAACGGCGGGCACATTACCCAGGCGATTACCGACGACCACTCGGTGCGTAATGTGGCCGCTGACGAGCTCATCAACGTCCACGAGTTTGTCGAGGGAGCCCTCGTCGTCTATGGCGACTGGGTTGGCCGTGTGGAAAATGTCTACGACGAGGTCGCTATCAAGCTCGCAAATAACTCAGTCGTCGTGGTTGAGGACCCCTCGGAGCTGACTCAAGACGACACCACCATAGACCGCCTCAGCGTCGGAGACACGTGCAAGACAAAAAAGGGAAATTTGCGGAGGGGCCGCTGGCGCTTTGGCGCATACGACCCCAGTGTGCCCCCCGTCGGCATGGTAGTCGAGACACGAGCAACTGAAATCGACGTGCAATGGCTTGCCAGGAGCATCGGCTCCCGCAATCGCGCTTTCGCCGCGGAGGAGCCGCCAGTCACCCTTAGCCGCGACGAGTTTGAGAGCCCCACCTTCTACAAGTACGACGCGTCAGGCGGCACTGCCACAACACTTCCTCTGTCTGAGAATGGTGTCGATAAGTCATATCACGTTGCCGATGTGGCCGTGGGAGACCGTGTCCGCTTCAAGGATGTTGCGGGCGCTGCTGTCAAGTACGATGGCACTCACACTCTGCCCGACGGACATGCACAAGGCAAGGTCACGCGCATACCCCGAACTGACTCTTTGGGCTACGACCTCAATGTCTTTCTCGTCACACAGACTCACAGCCAAGTCACCGTGCAATGGCAGGACCTGTCAATAACACATGATCTCAGCTCCGCCCTACTGCCCGACCCCAACGTCGAGGATGACGACGAGGTATGGCCGGGAGAGCTCATCTTCTCAAAAGAAAACCGCAAAGACGATGATGAAGAAGAATCGGAGACGAAGAGGCCTGCAAAAGTAGGCATTGTCCAGACTGTCAAGGGTCGAGATCGGATAGCGACTGTGCGGTGGTTCAAAAACGCTTTCGTAGAATTCTTTGGCAATGACCTGCTCCCGCCATGCACTACAGGCGAGCTCAGTGACGCCATTGAAGATGTTAGTCTGTACGACATTTACTCGCTGCAAGCCCTTACGCGACGCCGTGGCGATTTCGTCATTCTAAATCCAGACAACGTTGAAGCTATACAGTCTACGACCAACATTACCGGCCCCAATTGGTTTGGCGAGGTCATTGATCTAGGCTTGGACGGTAAACTGACTGTTCGTCTTGGTGCCGCGAAGCCTGTAGTTGATGTCAAGGTCCCCTATGAGTGCGTTCACCTTGCCTACAGCAGTGATATGGCCGATGATTTCGTCAACAACCTTGGAGAGCTCGACGGCGACTCCATCGAAGACTCGGACGAAGAATTTGATTCCGATGACTTCGACTCCGCCTCTTTTAACGAAATGTGGATTGAGTACGAAGGCATGGAGGGCGAGCCACCCGTCGGAGATGAGAGCGACTGGTCAACCGAAGAGGAAGATGACGACCCCGACGACGACGATAATGATGACGAGTCAATGCCAGATCTAATTGACACCACAAAGGAAGACGTCGATACCACCAAGACTACCCCTGAGATCAAGTCGCCCCCGACAAAAGATGAGAAGCTTGATTCACACCCAGAGCCAGAGGCCGATGACACACACATGGAGCACGGAAACACCGAGTCATCCACTGCAGGACCGGCATCATTCGTCATCCTAGATACGCCCCCACCATCGTCACATCGCTACGTTGGAATGTCATCGACATCGTCGTCCGCCTTCATGCGCCGTATTGCCAAAGAGCACAAGATTCTTCGCAGCTCATTACCGCCTGGAATCTACGTCCGCACCTGGGAGTCACGCCTCGATCTTTTGCGCGTGCTTATGATTGGCCCTAACGACACACCCTACGAATTTGCTCCATTCGTCATTGATTTTCACCTCGGTTCGTCGTACCCGCAACAAGCGCCCGATGCCTATTTCCACAGCTGGACCAACGGCAACGGCGCAGTCAATCCGAATCTGTACGAAGATGGAAAGATTTGTTTGAGTTTACTGGGGACATGGCACACAGATGAGCGAAACGAGAGCTGGAGTCCTGCAAAGAGTACACTGCTCCAAGTCCTGGTTTCGCTCATGGGTCTGGTGCTGGTAAAAGAGCCGTACTACAATGAAGCAGGATACGATGTACATCGTTCGGCACCAGAGACCAAGCTCAGCAGCGCTTTGTACACGGAACGAGCCTACTTTCGCGCAAGGGCTTTCATACACCATGCACTTACTCACGACGTCGAGCCTTTCAAGCAGGAACTGGAGTATCTGTACCTAAGTCAAGAAGACGATGCACCAAAGCTACTCGACAAAGCAATCGCTGCCGCTAAGGACATCGTCGAGCGCAGTACTGATGCGAATGAAGAGGGAGAGCGTGATGGTCTGCGCAAGATCAGTTTGGGTGCTCTAGTTATGCTCAAGCGCCAGATTGAGAAACTAGAGGACCTGAACAAACCAAAGGCGTGAGTACTTGGAAGAAGAGTACGGAGAAGTAGAGTATTTGTCGTATAGCTGGGTGTCTGATGTGGTGTAAGAAAAATGAATAGCATCTATGATATACCCCCTCCCGCGCCGCTGAATCAAGGACTTATGTTAAAGAGAAGTAAAGAGAAGAAAAAGAAATAAATTAAATATCTCATAGATAGTTGCAGTGTATTGCTATAGAGTTGAGGTGAAGTCAAGTGAGAGCAGGGCAGCCCCTGCTCCGAAGGTAGATTCCGCAGTTACAATTACAATATTTTCAGTCTCCAAGAGACACATCGACTTGGTATCCAGGTCTCCTCTTTTCACACATATCATATACAAAATCACGGCTTCAGATGCGTTTATTCGCCATGGTGTTTCCACCACCTAATCCCATGTTCTCCATCAGGTCTATGTTTCAAGCCCTCACCCCGATTCCAACATATCAGCATAAAGATTCAACGCACTCCCAATCACGTCCACAATCGCCCACGTTTCGGACCCTCTAAAAATCATAGCCCACACCCTCAGCACCGCTGCACTAAGCTGGCGCATGAAATGCGGCGAATCAGCCGGGACATCTAGCTGCAGCGCAAACTCCGTTTCATCAAGCATACTCTTCACAATCGCCACGATTTTGTTCTCGTCTTCAGTCAAGGGCGGATCCGGGTTGGGCGTTGCAAGGGCTTCAAACCATTTACTCATTAGATATGCGCATTCAAGCGTACACAGTGAGTGCTGGATGCTCCAGATGAAAGATTGGGTTTTGGCAACGAGACGGTAGCCGATTTTGATAGGGATGGAGAGGGCTTGGGCGGAATGCAAGACTGCTCTTGTAATTTTCGGGGACCGACGGATTGCTGGGCCGGCGCGGAAGGCGTTGGCGATTAGCACTGGGTCTCGTGTTTCGAGGGCGCGGCCTGCGGTGTCGACGTAGAGGCGGATGTAGGCGAGGCGGAGGAGGGCGGTCGAATTGAAAGCTACAGGGCCGTTGTGGTTCATGGGATCGAGAGAGGATTCGGGGTTTTTGCGCCAGCCGATTTGCCAGTTTCGTAGGGCGTTTTCGAGGGACGCTACGTCTTCGGTGCTGAGGTCGCCGGGGCCTTCGAAGCGGCAGCGGGCTACTTGGCGGAGGAAGAAGATGTGTTGGATCAGGGCGTGGATCAGGGCGTAGTTTCCTAAGGACGAGTTGACTTCTGTGACGCCCCGGCCTTGCTTGGTGAATAGCCGCTTTAAGGCATCTTGGAATAGCACTTCTGGGATTTCTTTCTTTCGGGCTTCTCGCCACGAGGCTTCGGTTGATGCTCTGAACTCGGCTTCGTTGCAGGGCAACGTAAGCTTAACTTCGCTTGTTAGCATAAATGGTGGAATGTTGTAGACGATGCAGTGTAGATTAGAAAAGCCGTAGACGATAAACTTTGTTCGCTTGACAGTTTCTCGGCGGATCCAGTCTGCCCAAGATATGTCGCTGTGGAGCGGTTCAATCTCGAGCCCGTCATCTCGGATGAGTGTTGCCAAGATACTCTGGATGGCGAGCGCTTCTCTTAGAATTTCTTTATGCTTGGCCCAAGTAGATAAAGCCATCAGCAGGAAGAGGGCCTGGGCGGTCTGCATGAGATCCTCTCCTGGAACAGTCATGTCATCTGATGGTAGGCCGAGCGGACCAGTGGTAGAACCCTTGTGCTGAGGACTTCGCGAACAAGACTCATTCTCGTAATTGTTTGGCGATGTACAGCTTGACGGCGAATGGTACTGAAGCTTCACTAGGCGTGCGTCGCGCCTCCTGATTCGCTCTGTCGCAATTGCCTTGCTGATGTTAAACAGCTCTACCCCCTTTTCGCCTTCGAACGTATACTGCGTTCCAACTGCAGCTAGTGCCAACAGCAGCTCAACCGAACAAGTATCCACAGAAATGGTTGATATATGGAGCAATGGCATGTGTTCGTGGAAGCCGTTGATATAAGCTGCAATATACCTGCATAAGGCTAACCGAGTTGGGAGGACAAAGTCGGTAGGTATGACAGAGCAGAACTCAGTAAGCATCTTGAGAATTCTTTGCCGATCTCCATGTGATATTTCGGAAATTGGCCTGTTGCGTGTGGATGGCTCTGGTATTACAGGCTCTTCTGGTTGCAGGGATGGAAATCGTGACCCAAAGCGCGAGAGCGAAGGAGGCTCATCAGAGTGAACCTGTCGCCAACCAGTCATTGGCGCTGTGGTTCTGCTAGGATCAGATATCAATTGCTGGTCATAGCCAAGCGAGTCGGGTGAGAAGAATGGTATGGGCTGTTCAGTGTTGATCAGTGACGAAAAGTGGTACGAGTCCAGCGGCTCACTATCTAGGAACACAGCAAGACTGTCTAGCGAATTTGATATTGTAGATCCATAGAAGCTATTGGCATGTTCCGTCGGGACAATTGTATGTTGGGTTTCTACTGTCGTAGCAATCGTCTCAGGTTGGGAAGGCAGAGGTGTCGGCATTGCGTGAGCAGCTCGGTCCACCATATTGCCATGGAGTGCCTGGTACTCGGCAGCCATTGATAGCGCGGTCAGAGAGTACCCGCTATGTAGGCCAAACGTCATGGACGCGTGCGATCTCGAAGGCTGGTGCATGGACGACTGCACATCCACAACAGCTGGCGAAGCCATCATGCTGGATATTTCTGGAACTGGACGACCAGCATCGATGCTCGACCGAAGTCGTTTGTTGGGGCGCGTCTCTGCAGGTGTGTAGACGCTCTCAGCAGGGGATTGGACATGATTCTGCTGGTTGTCTTGGCCCTTGCGATGCGTGAGCCGCTCATGGCGAACAAGCAGATCACTTTGATCCAGAATAAGCCATGCGAATGTCTAAAGAGAATATTTCATACCTTCTCGTGAATGAATAGCTGCATTCTGAGCAGCTAAAGGGTTTTACGCCGCTATCTTGAAGCAAGTGAGCAAAAGTATACGATCTGATCAGGCGACTTACGAATGCGCTCATGTCGCTGCAAATGCTCAAGCCTAGCAAAGGCACGCTGGCAGTGTGGGCACTGAAAACGCTTCTCTTTTTTGCCAGGTTGGGCTTGGGTCATTTGCGCTTCGCTAGGGGCAGCTTCCATGGAGAGCCTAGTAGAGGAATTCCGGTGGTCCACACGGGATCAGTCGCGATTGGTTCAGTTGATGGCACCGAGATATTGGAGTATCCTCAAGGCACTGTATGGCATTTGGAGATTGTGGGAGAATGTATGACACGGTCGGATACGGAGTGCAGCAGTGTGGGGAAGAGAGACGGAGCACGTAGATCAACCAGCTGACATGTGGGGTGCAGAGGGAGCCGGCAAAGCCACCAATCAATCTCGCCACGCAGTGGCGCCGGATTGAGTTCACCTATCACGGCACCAGAAGATTGAGGGTTTGACAAGAGGCTCATATTGTGATAGTCGAGGGTCTGGCTGGGGGTGATGACGACGATGATGATGATGATGGATGTTGGTTGCAAGCAGTGTTTGCAGCTCGGATACGCACGTGAGGTCGCATCGCTGCTAACCACCCAGTAAGATACAGGAAAAGATAACACATCCCACATTACCCCCACAAAGTAAAGCTCCCGCTCAGGCCCTGGCGCTTCTATTGCCCAATTCTCGCGGCATCTCGCCCTTTTCTGCCATCTCATTCAGAACCTTTTCGGCCGTCTTCATTGCGTCCACGCCAGCTGGCACGCCGCAGTATGTCGTCGCGTGGATAATGGCTTCGCGGATTTCGAGCTCAGAGAGTCCATTGTTCCGGGCTCCTCGAACATGGACAGCCAGCTCAGGCGCACGATTGAGCGCCATGAGCATGCCGATGTTGATCAAACTTCTCTGCTTCTTGTCGAGACCGGGACGTGTCCACGCGTAACCCCAGCACATTTCAGTGACGAGCTCCTGTCCGGCTCTCGAAAACTCTGTCGAGCCATTTTCTAACGCACGGTTGACGTACTCGTCACCCACGACGCTTCGTCTCACCTTGAGCCCTTCTTCAAATAGCTGTTTGTGTAGCTCGTCGTACTTGGGGTCGGTCGACATAATCGATGCACGGTTGGGACGGTGTTGATGGCTCGGTCAGGTAGGTTTTGCAAGATCTGCCCTTTTCTGTAATGACTTTTCAAAATCAAGGAATGGCTTTTACTCTGGAGATTTACTGTAGTGCGATGGGAAATAGGTCGGCAGGATTGCGACGGTTCTTCAGAGAGATCAATTGACGGCGGACTCAGGCCATTACCCCACACAAGTTTCCCCAACTTCCCCAACTTCCCCCACCCTGTACTATGGAACATCATGACTAGCCACAGAGAAACGATGCACCCTAACTTGGTTCTTCTACGGAACACCATATGTCATACACATTATGGAGCCTTCTTACAAACAACCTGCCACTCACGTCCCATTCGACTTAGCCTGCCAGTCTTCCTGCCCGCCGAGATAGCGATAGACTACACGAGAATCCAAATCTCTGCAACGCGGGTCATTGGCAGCTTCATCATACGTCTTGAATCCAACCTCACCCAATACGTTCCGAGAACCCACTCTCTTTGCCATGTCCACCGCGAGTCCAAAGTCTTTGCGCATCAGCTGTACCTTGAAGCCCTGCTTCCACCCTCCCGAAGACGGTGCCTCTGGGTAGACATGAGGAACAGGACAGAATTTGTCGCATATGGCGTTTTGAGCTGTACCTGCAGCATACACCTTGGCCAGCGTACGAGGGTCCAACCCACTACGCATGCCCATATCAAACGCTTCGGAGCAGGCTATTGCAATTATGCCAGAAAGGTAGTTGTTTGATAGCTTTGCTGCGAGACCAAGAGATGGTCCACCACAAGGTATCACTTGTCCACCCATAAGACTCAGTAAATAAGTGAGGCGCCCCATGTTCGCATCCGACTCTCCACAGCCCAGGAAGAATGCGATTGTGCCTTTGATTGCACCCACCACACCGCCACTAACTGGAGCATCATAGAATGCTGCCGAAGGGAAATGATTTGTAACGTGTTCTTTCACTGCCAGACTTGTTGCCGTATCAATTGTCGAGCAATCGATAAGCAGCTTGTTCGAGACATCCGTACTGCATACGCCATTGGCGGGGTCGAGATATACAGATCGTATATGCGCACCCTCAGGTACCATTGTGATAATCGTATCCTACTTATCGATTAGTGACGGTCGCATGAATTCTAGGCTCAGCATATTTACGGCTTGTTGTGCGACATCCTTAGCGTTCTTCCCCTTCAACACTCTGTTGGGAAACTCGGCACAGACGTCGTCTACCGCTTGTTCGACAACATCATACACCCATATAAGCGAATCTTCTGGCAGCTTTCTAGCCAGGTGTGACAGCATCGGTGTTCCCATGGCACCCAGGCCAATGAAGCCGAGCCTACTGAATTCGTATGGTTGCGGCATTTGATTCGCGTACGGTAGAAATCGCAAAAAGGTCGGGGGTCAATATCGGTTGGTCATAAATTTCTGAAACTTATATCGCATTAGAAAATAAAGCTCGGAGCAATAATGAGGATTTCCTGGGAATACAACACAACACGTACGCCCACTTACCTAACTCGTAGTGGCTGGCTAGCAATTAACAAGGTGGGGCACAGTTCTCCAACCGTCTCTTTCAATCAGCTTCCCCCACATCATTATACGCAAACTCTGACGCACACACCAGCATTTGTGGAACAGATGAGATGAAGGAATGATCACCTGTGCGATATTTTTCCGCACTCCTGTTCACATAAGGCCGTGTACTGCCCTGTTGTTTGCCACCAAACAACAACGAAAAAGCAATACTCATAATAAGAGTACGATATCCCGATACTTCAGCGAGCTAATTGAACCGGTTCTTCGAATCTAGGGAGGATATGACTGCTAGCAACACATGTCACAACTTTCAGCATGAACCGACAGCTGTCGTTTCAGTTCATGCTCTATCATGTGGCCACTTTTCACTCCCAGAATACCAGTTTGTGAATCCTGCTGCACCTGACGCTCGTCGAGCTGTTCCTTCGTTGGCATTCTTGATTCAGCACGTGAATCGGTATACCGGAAAACGAACGCGACTCGTCTTCGATCTTGGCTTGAGAAGAGACGTGAAGCGCTATCCACTGCCAATACAGAAACACATCGAGACCAGGCAGCCAATGACCACTGATCCGGACGTTACCAAGAGCCTTGCAAAGGGCGGGCTTACACCAAAGGATATTGACTACGTAATTTACTCACATGTAAGTACATGTTGATGGAGTTACGCTCGTGGATGGTGAGTGACTTACTTTTACCAGGTACATTGGGACCATATTGGAGAACCTCGAGACTTTCCAGATTCAACCTTCGTCGTCGGACATGGCGCAGCTACTCTGCTCAACGACACTTCTTCTTCACTCCGAGGCAGCCATTCCTTCTTCGAAAGCGACCTCTTGCCGGAGGGTCGGGCCGTGGAACTACCCGAACCTATTGTCTATGGATTGAAGAAGCATGATTCGGGCGTAACCATTGGGGAGATCGATCTTCATGGGCCATGGCAAAGTCAAGGCTGTCTCCCGGAAGTTCTAGACCTTTTCAACGACGGGTCCCTTCTGATCGTAAACGCACCCGGACATCTTCTCGGACATATCAATCTTTTGGCAAGGACTTCTCCAAGCCATCAGATCTACATGGGCGGGGATGCCTGCCACGATAGGAGAATATTGACCGGTGAAAAGGAGATTGGCGAATGGAACGATGCACATGGCCAAGTCTGCTGCATACACGCCAATCGGAAGCAAGCCAAGGAAACTATCGATAGAATACGGATTTTGGAGAAAGAAGGGGTTGAGATAATCTTTGCCCACGACACTGAGTGGGAAAACGATCCGGCGAACAGGACTAGGTTCTTTGGTGCAGCGTAAAATATTTTATGCAAGTAATATTTATCCCATGCACAACTTTTTTATCCATTTGCAACTTTAATCAAAGGGCCCGAAACTCTATCGTTCCAACAACCAGAAATTCAATCGGGCAATCTGCGATCTTTGGCGCTCGTGCTTCGCGAACGAGCAAATCGTAAGTGTTACCGAACCCTGTCGGTCTTTTCCCCACATTTAAGAGTTGGGGAAATGTGGGGCGAGCCGTTAGTTGGCTGAGCTCGCCTGCCGCGGATTCCGACTCCTTTTAGGAAAATAGGGACAATATTGTAGATCGATTGTTGCCCGTTTCCGTATTCTTGTCCTAAAACGGATCACAGGGGGTGTTCATCCAATCCAATGGTGACCAAACCTTCTTGGATTGTTGAGACAATTCGGCCCATTCCGAATCATAGTCACAGGATATGAATGGCAATCAGCGATCTTGATGCCAGTCGCACATGGGTACCGACATACTCCCTCTCATTCCCATAGGCACAATTCGCCTTCGTCTCGACCGCTTTCATTAAATTTCCATTGGGATATTTCGGTTGTAAGCACGACCCCACCTTCTCTTTCGCCCACTTTCTTTACCCCACCTTCCCTTTCTCCCACTTTCTCTACCCCACCTTTGGAGAAGATGGTACTGTAGCATCGGGACTTTCACGTGCTTAGAGCTCGGCTTCGTAGGTTGACAACTATGCGATATGAGTACAATGCATTTTGGTGTTGTTATCATCCTGTATAAGTGACGCATCACGATACCGCTCTACCGATAATCGGGGAAATGAGTTGGGGAAATAAGTCCCAAGAGTAACGATGTGCGCAGGGAAGACAGGAAGATGAGCAGGATGCATGTGAAATTCGCGGCTTCATAGAAATAACCCCGATACAGTATTGTCACGGACGTTACACATTATGCAGAAAGCTGGAAAAACAAGCTGTTTGTTCAGAAAGTCATATTTTTTAAGTTGTAGTGGCCTTTTACTATTCCAATTTTTAACTCGATCACAAAGCAACGGAGCACTACAACGCACGAAATCGCATACTTATATCTAGTCTTATTTGCCTAGACTTCGTATTGTGATTGGTAGTGGGTAGTAAAAGTCATTTATCGAAGGGAAGAAAATATAGATGTTACTTTCGTGACCAAATGTAACATCTCTGTTCATAAGATGTATATCCACTACGAGTTGAGCTTCGGTATCAGGTAGGATAGTAAGAATAGAACCATATACCTAAATTAGTAACTCAAATGCACTCAGAAGGGGGTTTAAAATGCATCTTGGGATACTACAATTTACCAAGCCGTCATCTGCCATAAATACATCCAAATACAACAATGATTTGCTGAGCTGCGTTTTTCTGACAAATTTCACATTGGAGGCAATAATTTTCTATCTGGCAACATTTTGATGAGCCCACAACAGTTAGGATATTTTGCTCCTTTGCATCAGGATGTCTGAACTAATGGACACTTAAGTGTGAGAAGGCGGACAGTAACCGCGTATGAAATCACACAGACCTTTTTCGTACATGATGACCAAAAGAACACGAGGTCAATAAAGGCAGTTTCAGGGGAAATACTAGCTTTCAACCAAGATACCGTGAACAATTTTTCAGTCATGACTCAGCAGTGACTACTGCAAGGCCACTGCATCGCTATCATCGACCATGTCTTTTTGTACCAACAAACACAGCAGATAATAGTCCAAGATAGATACTATAATAGTCTGCTTAAGGTACAGGCTTAGCAAGAACCACCGTGGTGATCACCACATCGAAGGTGCCACAGATAGCTGAAGTTAGACACCACGTATGCACGTAAATCTTTGGCTACATCCTCGGGAGTAAAAAGATTAAGGAAAGAGAATAAAGAGGCTGGGTTGGAGGCCTGGCATGGAAGAAAGAAAAAACATAGATCTTCAGTACCAGGTCTATGACGTGGATTATTCACTGGGAAATGCCGAGAAGCTTCGGAAAGATGGGTTGTAAGCTGAGATAAGCATACTCTCGAAGGACATATGCAGCAGAGCTGAATCAAACCTTCAAGGCATGAATGTTGTACATATACACAAGTTAATTGTGTCCGAAAAGTCTCGGGAAGGTATGATAAAAGTTCATTAATCATCACAGGTGGATCTGCACTAGATGCAAGCACAAATTTTGCAGTGAGGAGAGGAGGTTGCAAGTACCAAGTAATCATGTTCAACACCAATTCGTGACCTTCCTCTTCCTACACAAAGACCAGATGTACATCCTCACTGCCTCCACAAGACGAAATTAGGCATCCAGCACCCACACGACCCACCCATCCACCCAACTTCATCGCCCCTCCCCCACCTCTTGATAGCATCAACCTTGTGCCGACCAGCCTCACGCTCTCCCTCCATCCCAAGGAACGTCGTATGCACGATCTTCACCGCCTGGCATATTTTATGATACTACCTCGCAATCGGACCCGCACTGCGCAACAAAAAACTTCGCCGAAGGCCCCAAAAAGAAAGAAAGGTAAACCACCATGTTCATTGCAGAGCGAGTGAAGAGTCACGATGTCGATCCCGCAAGAGAGGACATGTGGTCGCAAAACATATTTCCATCATGCAATGCAGAAGGGCACGGACACAAACAGGCAAAAGAAGGCGCAAAAAAAAACGCTAAAAAGTTTACCCTCACCCTCCTTGTTCGTCGTCGTGGCTGTCCCCGCTGCACAAGTCTCCGAACTAGACGAAAGGTGTAGTCACGCGCATGGACCTTTTATCTAGCCGCAGATCGTCCTTTTGACGTGGCTGTGGCTGGAGGGGGTGGGATGATCGACAACCAGTTGGGGAGAGGGCGAAAGATGAGATGGGTTGAGGGTCTGCAGACTAAAAGATCCGGTAAGCGGATAGTAAGCGACGGACCACCCCATCGCTAGTGAGCGATCTAGCTTGTAGCCTTGTTAGCGCAATGCACAAACAGCTGCTAATGTATGGGTGTGGGTGTGTCTGTGTGCCTGACTATTTCATTTGTTTTTTGCTTTCGCAGTACGGCCAGCAATTTGAGAGATAGGGTCTGTTGGGTCTGGCAAAAGAAAAGTACTTTGTTTCGAACTTTATGCCTGGCCTGCACTAGAAGGAAACAAGAAATTACATCTTGCATCACGAAAGCAATATAGAGGCGCAGACCCAGTTTTTATCCCTCTCATTTGACCAGGTCGGTTGGTTGTCATGGCTTTGCGAGGGCGAAAGGGGGTGAAGGGTTCAATCCTCTGGCTTGTCCTGCCGTGTGGTGTAACGAAGGCTGTGGGCGTTGAGCAAGCCCAAGTTATGCAGCCGGCATACAGGGTGTGGGGTCGAATGGATTATGCATTTCCTCACATTTGGTCTTGTCTTTGCTTGCAACCTAACGGAGTGTTCATCCAATCCATACTGTTCTGTATTGTGCTGGCTGAATCTTTGCGGGTGTTACATGGGTTAGGGTGGAGATGTCCAATTATGATAGTCACCCTGGTATTCTGCCTAGTATGAATCAGTCTGGAGGATGGCTGTAGTTTCACAAACACTACTGATATAGATGTCCGAAGACTTCCGAAGACTTTCGGATGGTTATCTTGATATCGTGATTAGGTCGAGAAGTTTACTATCTCGATGTTATCTAAGCGACTTGCAACCCACAACATTCCCATTCACGTCATAGCAGTCTGTGTACTACGGGCCGTTTCGCACTGTCAGGCGATGCCGAAGGGTGTGGATCACGCGGAATTTCGAATACAAAGGGGTGGCTGATTACACGCCTACACCTAGGTGTAGAGTACGATCTCGATGATAATATCATATACCCTGTACATCGCGATACACATCGACGTCATTGCAGTGCCCATTCTCCGAGAAGGAAACTCCCGTTTCAAAGGTGGTGTACGATCCTGATGGGGTACCTTGTAAGGCGTTATAGAGGTGTAGTGGGTGGCTACGAATTAATCTCGATCTCGATCTCGATCTCGATGATAAGAAGCACATTGTAGGCCACGCTATCCTCGAACGCTATTGCAGTGTGAGTGACAAGGGAACGCCCGTTTCACAACTGCCAACGATTCCGATGTTCGCAGATCCTGCGGCGTAAAGGCGTATATTGAAATCAGATTGGTGGTTCCAAAGTGATCTCGATCTCTCCATTCTTCGATCCCGATGACAAGAAGCACACATGTAAACCGCCTTTTCCCGTCATACCGACAAGCGGACCGGAGGTTTCTTAACGGTGAACTGCGTCGATGCTCCTAGACGACTGTTTGTGCGTCGTAGTGCGAAGTAGTTGAGTTGTAGTGCGATGTGGGGTAGGAGTTGAGGCAGAGGTGGTTGGGTTGGGACTAGATCGCGACGATGCCAGGCACAGTTTCTGAGAGACACCCCTTTTCCAATCGAAAAGGATTACCGCATGGATGTATACGTACGAGTATTGGATGTTTCACTTGGGCTTCGATTTCGATGCCCTGTAAACCTGTTTCTCACGTACTCAGGCATCGCTGGGGGTGGGGGTTGTCTCAATCGCCAGTACGCATCGATCGATCTCTATGAGATCATCAGTGAAAAAGTAAAAATATGGAAGATGGCGTCCATCAGAACCACATGACATGGCCCGATTAGGGATGCGGTGTTATTGGAAGTCCTAAAGCGTCGTAGCACTTCCTATACGTTGGTAGAAACACCAAATTGGCCAAGTGATACACAATTTGGTGGCACACCAATGGGTAGAGGTTGCAAAGTAAGCCTCCCACGACACCCACGTCATGTTCAAATCTCAAGGCCTGATTCGCTGGGTTTGTATCCCTTGGTGCTTCCCATACATGAGCGAATCAGCACCACTGTTATGACACCTTTCCTTCCACACCCATTATGCTCAGTCCTCTTCCCATCAAAAGCACCCAGCCGCACCATTGACAACATTATCCAGCGAATCCAGTCACATGCAAAAGCAACCCAAGCTCAACACATTTGCTCGCTACAGCACACACGGTACCGCAATGATGAATCGCACAATACCCAGAGTTACGATGGATACAGAATTAGGCGACGACATCAATTCTTCTTACAATGCCATAGACATGTTCTTCCTCACCAATACAAGAATTCCCCGCAACACTACCCAAACTTAAAAAAGAAATACGTAAACGACTGGGAAAAAAAGAAACAACCACAGCAAAAAAATTCCCTCGGAGTAACATCGATGACTCCACGGGCAAACACCACAAAAAAGGTAAGCGAGAGCGAAAAATATCCTACCCGTTGCAACCGCGTAGAAAAAAATTACGGGAAGGCAAAGAAACGCCAGGCGAAAACGGAGGATTACTACATGCATGGCGGAGATTTTCTACGCGTGGAAGATGAGCAAAGGACGGAAAATATCTAATCAACTCCACGGGACGAGAGACATGAATTCTTACCGATCAGAAAAAATCCCATCTCTCAAATCCCATATCACAAAAGCCATTGCACGAACCCGTCTCACAAACCCTATCGCACAAACCCCATCTCCCAAAACCTCATTTCATAGTACACAACTAACTCTAACCTCTCCAGCCACACTCCCCCACCCCTATCCCCTCACCACCCCCCTCAACCTCAACCTACTCCACCTGCTCAAAGAAATGCTGCACAAACCCCTGCATCGCCGGCCCTTCCTCTTCCACCCCTAATAAACGACCCACATCACCTACACCCCCATTTACGTACTATTCGAGCATTTCGAATCCATACCTTGGACCCAAGCGGCTGCGTTGTGCGCCACAGAACCTAAAGGTCCATGCGCCACTTGAGTATCCGCGACAGGAAAGGAATGGGAGGGTTGACAAGGGCAAGGCAAGGGCGAAGATAGAGATGGTAGGAGGAGGAAGAGGAGGAGGAGCGCATATGATGAACTATACGAGGTCGAGGAAGAAGTGGAGTCATGATACTGTGTAAGTTTTTTTTATTTCCTTACATCCCCTATACTTACTCTGGTTGCGTTTTCCCGACTTTGGAAGTTTTTTTTTAAAGTTTCTCCAGCGATTCATGCGCGCAAACACCGTTGCGTTTCCCCCTCCCCCTTTTTTTCTTCCCCCTCCTCTCCGCTCATGTGGAGAGACCACGAGCGTTGTACACACACACACATGCGCTAAAGTAATGTGTAAGAAAGTTGCTAAAAGTGTAACACCACTAACGTCTTTTTTTTTGCCGCTAAAAATATAGTGCTCGCATGCGGCAAGAAGATAATAGTAGTAGTATACGTAATACTGCTGCTGCTCCCGTTATCTCCCCGCCAGCTCCTGCACAGCCGCATGTCGCTGTCGCTGTCGCTTCCCCGGCATCCAGACGCGATAGCATGGAGCCCGAAGCCCAGAGGATGAATATAACGCCACTTGCTACTGTGCTGTCACCGCAGCCGCAGCCGCAATCACCATCAGCTCAGCGCCAAATGCAGCATTCTGCGAATGAGAGTGGAGAGGAAGTTGTAGAGAGGGAAAAAGGCAAGAGCAAGTTGCACCTCATGAAGCGCATTTGGAGTAGTCTTACTCGCAAGTGAGGGAAACTTTGCCCAAACATTATTTCCTGTCGCCTTCTCCAGCTCAAGGTTCTAGACCTACCTCTCTCATTCCTCTCTGTCTCTTGGGGGGTTTTTTTTTGCATCGAGATAAGAGAAGTGATACAGAGACCTCCGGTCTAGACTCCCGTCATCATCATCATCATCATCACGAAGCACGCTGCCAGACTCAGTCACAAAAAAAAAGTAAAAAAACAAATGCGATTTAGAATCTTGTTCCATCGTGGACTCTGGTTATGTTTTGCCAACTGAGGACCAAACGCAGAAAATCACGACACGAGGTCTAGCCCCAATGACCCTTTTTGTTTCTCTCGTTCTCGGGTTCCTCTCGTTCCGCTGGTGCACAGGAAGGAAAAAAAACCTCTATCTGGCTCGTGTCTCTGGGTGTTGGTTTTCTTTGCGTTGGGACCATCTGTTGCGGTGAAGGGAAAGGGAGGGAGGGAGGGAGGGTCGCGAATCACAAAGAATATTTTATCATTTCATCTAGGCTGCCCCGTCGACACAGCAGTACTTTTGGTTGGTGTGTCTGTGTGCTATGCGTACGTGCGTGCGTGGGTGTGTGTGTACGTGTGCGTGTGCATGTGCGTATGCGTCGAGTCTCCACGGAGATGTGTGTGTGTTAACTCATTTTTTCTGGCCCTTCACACAGACCCCTACATCGCAAGAAATTCCCGTTGCGCATTCCAGATTTTCCGAAGCATCAAGGGGTTGAGCGTGTTTTTTTTGTTTTCATGGCGTCTAGATGCTCAGCGGGCAATTGGTGAGAGGCTTTCTTCTTCTCGCCTCAGCGTCCATCGCCTCCGCTTCTGTTCGCTAAAGGGCGCAAGCACGCGCTGGCCTAGTGTGCCCTTACCATGTTCAACCTCATATGGCTGTCATTTATCACTGGTAGAGACGAATCAGGATTTTTTAAGCGAAGTTTTTTTTGGTCAAAAATATTTTCGGTTAAGACAAG